GGAATCCAGGTTATGGCATTGCATCGACATAAACACTGTGTCTCCCCTTTGTGCTACTGACTGTGCTGCCTCACTGTGTGAATGACTAAATGTTAATCAGCAATGTATTTCCACGGCACCGTGATGAGCTGTGCTCAATATGGCTCCGGATCGAGGACTTTCAGGGAGAGAGTGTAATTGAAGCTTTCTCATTGGGGATGTGGGAGGGCTGCCAGATGCTAGGAACTAATGAAACCCAAGGGCTGGCAGAGGATGTTAGATTAGCAAACTGAATATAAAACACTTTAGTTGTTTAGACGGGCTGCATGACAAATAAAAAACAAAACAACCAAAAAAAAAACCCACCTAATTGCTCAAGGATTAGCAGACAAGGAGACATCACAATGGTTTAGTTTTGTTTTATGCCTAAATTGGTCAACTGTGAATAACTCTTTAGACTTTTTTGGCTGGTGTTGGTGTTTGGAGGGTGCCCTTACTTTAAAATAACTGGAAACGGCATATTGTGCAGACTGGAAAAATTCCTGATGTTTTTGTCAGATGTCTAACAGACAATCCACATAAACTGTTTGATATCTGCTTTCCTCTAACGTTTGCCAAAATGCCTGTATTAAGTACTGCAAACTCATCTAGTATAATTCACACCAGGGATGTCAAACTCCAGTCATCAAGGGACGCTGTCCTGATGGTTTCAATGCATTCAACACTGCTGGCTGGAGCATCTCATCAGCACCTACTAATGAACCATTTAGTAGTTTGGTTAATGAGTTTTTAACCAGGAGAACAGCTAAAATGAGCAGGAGTCATCGCTCAACTTATATCTTTGGATCCTATTAATGTATACAGGGGCTTTTTAATTCACACTGCACTCCCTTTTTGAAATTGTGGATATATGGGAAAAATGAAACGTTGCATCATATTTTAAAGCATTTTCCACCTCTAGCTCCTAATATGTCCTGCAGGATTCCCCTGAAAAACAGATTTATTCATGGAAAAAAAATAATGTTTATACATTTCTGCAAAAAAAAAAAAAAAGAAAAAATGTTATACTGTGCTTTGCAAAACTAAACTAAAAATATGTTAGATTCAATTGTCTGCTGTTGTCCATTATCTTCTTAAAGTGATTCAATCAATTTTTCTCTCTGATTTACTTTGTTTACTTGGATTTGTTGTTGGCAATGCTAAAATAAGAAAAAAAAAATTTGTCAAAGAGAGATTTTTTAAAAAGCAACCCCATAAATTCGTAGTGCAACTGAAAGCTTCTATACACAATAAAAAAAAAATAGCACAGTTTGCAGGTCTCAGAATCTGCCTTATTTGTCTTAAGGCAAATCTCTTTGACCTTCCACAGGGATAGAAGAGACACATTGCTCTTATAAATGAACCCCACCAGGTGTTCTTGCTACTGAAATCTTTTCTTAAGACGTGTCAGAAAGCCATTACATTGCTGGTTTTTGACCCTTCCAAAACTGTCTAATAGCTTAAAACCTCAAAGCTTTTGAAAGATAATTTATCATCTCGATCCCTTCCACTTTTGTGTAACATGTTTCAAGGCAAATGTCATATTTATAGTAGCAGAGCCTTGTAGGGTTGTTGGTTTCTGCAGCAATATTCCTTCCATACATCATTGGATTATTTTCTCTTGCGTTTCGCCTCACCTATTGATGATGAAAAACTAACAGGCAATTGCCCCTGAACTATGCATTTCAATGAAGATGTTGTCGAGAGCTTGTGTACTCTATAACCAGAATGGCACCGGCCATGACACATTCAGAAGTGAAGGCTGGATTGATTTATTTCATTTTTTGTTAAATGTGAGAGTCAGAAATTCTGAGATTCCTTGGCTGCAGCTTTCACAGTCCTCATCAAGGCTGTCAGTTTTTGTCTGTCTGTTTCTTATTCTGAACCCTGTAACCACTTTATTCTCACTCGGAGATCTTGAAAGTGCTTTAATCGGGCTCCTTCTCGCCTTTTAAGGTTTTTCATCACTAAAAAAGATGAATTAAATTTTTGTTAGATGGTTCAGAAATCACATAAAATTCTAATAGGGCAGTTAAATAATGTTTGCACAATCGATGTCCTTAGCTCACCTAAACTTGTAGGTAAAACCTCCCTCAGTCTCTGCATTGCTTTTATTGCATGAAACATTTGAAAATAATAGTGTTTCAGCTTTGTTTTAATTTAAGATTTTGTTAATGCATCAAATTCCTATTGTTAATTTAGAGATAACAGTATATGTAAAAAATGGGTATACCTCATGGATAGACCATATCTTCAATTCCTTTTCCAAAAATTAAATTTAGATTACGGCTTCTATTTTTCCACCTTGAGAATTGTGTTGATTTGCTGTTTAAAAGCCTGCTCTGCTGCTTCTTGATTAGATCATCACGAGTAAATGCTAATGTTCAATGCCTATATAAAGCTTGATTTAGGAAAAGACCAAAAGACTTGTATTTATTGTTTTTTCAGACTCTGAATGTTTACACTTTGTTTTGTTTTTTTCTATGATTAATTAAATGACTAAATGGGACAGTTGTTACCAATCTCTTTTACAACATGCATTTTACAATTTGTCCGGGCAGGAAAAATCTACATTTCTTTTAAAAGGAAAAGTCCAGTCAGCAAGGAATAACCAATGGGTCATGATCTATACCTGAAACTAATACTTTCGCGATGATTTAATGAATTAAACGTTAATCAGTTAAAAAATAAAAACAATATTTTTCATTGCAATCACTGAGTCTGGGAGCGGACATTTTTGCATAGGTGATCCGCAGACAGTGCCGCAGACAGGAGGCGTCTGATTGTTCAAATCTACACCTGCTCTACACTATGCGTATTTCCTGTTTGGTACCTTAACGGCTTGTTTTGTTTGTATGACCGCCATTGAGCAAAATGACTCGTGAAGATTCACCAGCTAGAAGAGCGAGGTGTGTGAGAACGCAGGGGCCCCTTTTCCACCTGGATCCCCGCTCTTTTATGCCCTCATGTCCCTCCGTTGAACCACAAACTTGCCCCCATTTCCTCACCGCCTCAGCCGCATCTAGACCCACAGCTAGTTCTTCATTTTCCCTCTTTCGTTGTGACGTGGAATAACATAGCGCAGACCTTGCTTTAATATTGGGCACAAATCAAAAATATCTGCGACAAGCTCACTGCGACACACTGCTGCGGGAGTATGACCAGCCATTTGAAGGGACTTGCTGCCACACACTAGGAGAGAGTTGCAGCTTATCCATGCATTATAGTAGAAATAAGAACTTTTTCATGCAAAGGTTACAGTAAAGTCCTGCAATGATGGACCCTGGACAAGCAAGCTGTCAAGGTGATGAAAAAACTGAAACCTGGAGTGAAACATCTACATGCCGGTGCTCAGTGTAAAAGAGCATCGCAATCACATCGTAATCCAGAGTCCTGCACGGGTCTGATTTTTTTTTTTTAATAACTGTATCTGCCCGCTCCCATAGAGTTCAGAACCGGGACCCAACCCGTTGTCCGCAGTTATCCCCATTTAAAACCCAGCCACGACTGCATGGACCTGTAATTAATAAAGTGGGACTTGACCTGTGATCACAAAGTGCACACACAGCCGTTTATAATAACAGAGACAATAAAGAACATTGCCTCACGCTCGCATCCAGTGCGCACTGCTCTCACAGATTAACAGCTGTTAAATAGCCGAAGGAAGGTTTGTCTCCTTCCTTCGAAATATACTGTTATCTGGAAATTCTTGAATCAATTTATTTTTTAAGATGTAGAGTTAATAAATAAGAAAACATAAATACGTTTCATTCATGCTGTAACTCTATGATATCTGCATACTGTTCATTTATACCCATGCCAGCGCCTGTTAAATAACGTTGTTGTTTTTTTCTAGCCGTAGATGTACGTGTTATACAGGTACCCAGCCCGCTGCAGGTCTGTCGTATTCGCAATATTGGTTAAAATTTTGGTAAAGTGGTTCAGCCCCAATTATCAGTGTCATCAATAACTAGTGTTACTTCTCTGGTTCACAAGCAGGAACAAAAAGAGAGGAACTGACTCAAATTGTAATGTTTACATTTTTTAGTTTAAGAAAATAAATTGAATGAATAAATCAGAAGAAGCACACTGAAAGTCAAACTGTGGCGTCGGGAGCAGGAGAACAGCACCCCTGCATGCCACCCCATTAATGTGCTAGCGTTGATTAGGAGTCCCTGACACAGAACAATGGAAGAAGCAAGTAAGAAACAAATCTCCCCAAAGAAAAGGCCATCACTCTAGATAGCCAGTTACTTTAATCAATGCAAATCAAAGTTTAAAAAAAAATACAGTCACATATGCTGTAGTTACTGGGAAAATTTCTCTGTCTCGTTTCTTACAGCTTAGATTTTTTTAATGAGATGAGAGACAAAGTGCTAATGCAAATGCAGTTTTGCCTGCTATAGTGAATATGTAACATTGGACAGGATTGACCCTACCCTCGGCAGTGGCTGCACACCATTATTGTCAGCGAGTCAAGAGACTGGTGGCAAAACAGAAGCTTGACCCCCTCAAAAATGATAACCAGATTACTGTATTTCTGGTGCAGTTGCATAGTTTATAATGGTACATAAAAACCTCAGTTTTCCTCTTTTCTATCTCTGCAAGGCTCCTTTTTAAAAGCTGGCTTATTTATTCTAAAATGACAAAAAGAGTATAATTTCAGCAATCTTTTGTTTGTTTTATAAAAAAGTAAAAAAAAAAAAAAAACTTCTGCTCCATCCTAGACTCCCTCATTCTTTGAGTGTGCCTCTGCATTTGTTGTTTCCCCCTGTCTGAACTGATTTAGTGGAGCCTTTTTTTTTCTCCGGCAGGCGCTGCAACATTTATAACTGCTGCCTTTCTTCTCAACACAGAGTTTGAAATCCAGCTTGTTTTTGTGTCTAAAACCTTTGCACGGTGGTTGATGAGTATGAAATAGTTCTTGTCAGCTGTCAGTCTCAAGCTGTTGTGGTATTGATTTATTGTTTTTTTTATTCCAGCTGGGTGCAGAGCTTTGGGCATGAGGGCCTTGGACTACTTCTGGACGTTTTGGAGAAGTTGCTGTTCAAGAAACAGTGAGTTTATATTCAGTTGTTATTTTCTTCTGCATTGGTCCATTAATCCTCATCGTTACTGTTGTCTTGTCCTCAGGCAGGAGAAGATCGACAAAAAGAACCAACATAAAGTTGTCCAGTGTCTTAAAGCCTTCATGAATAACAAGGTAATATCAGTCATTTTTGTTTCCCCACAAAAATAAAAACTTTTAAACAAAAACCTTGTGTAATTACGAACCACACATCATTGACATTACTGCAATTCTCTTCCTGAACGGTAACATGTTTCACTACGTCACATGACCCCCAGGCGGATATCCTGCAACTTGTCTGCAACTTTCCTTTTATTGAAGCCTACATCACTAATGTAACCTGTTATTGACCAAATGTGCAATATGCTCAGATAATTAGCCTGCATTTTTATGTTATATAATGTTTAAAATGGGTTTAAAAATATATTCCTACGGGCAAGAGTTGTCTGAATAGCAATTCCTTTACATAAATGGTTTGCTAAAACTTTTCTTTAAATGATTGAATTAGATCATGTCCATATTTTATGTAAATTGGTGATTACATAAGCTTCTTCCTTTCTTTTATAGATTTTCAAACCATTGAAACTTTGAGTTTTACTCCGAGCTGCATGTTTTACATAAGCTCTGTGTTGTTTTTTAACAGCATTCAAATGTTGCAGTTTTTTGTTTAAAACCAGCTAATATTCATGTGGCCATATACACCAATTTGTCTGTATTAGCTCGACAGCATACTTTCACTGAGGAATTCAGTCCCAGTTTTTATTTTGTCAGAGTCCTCTGTTCAATGACTGTTTAAAACAGGCTTCTTTTGTTATGGTCTACTCCTTTCTTTTAAACTGTTAATATTAGTAGTAATTATTTTGTACATTCATCATATGATTGTGATTATGATGAATTGTTTAATTCAAGAGAAAATGAAACTGTAACTATAAAACCAATATTATTTTAGTTTATAAACTGATAAAGCATGTAATTCTTAGAGAGTAGCATGTAGCCCCTAAGTACTTGTTCTATTGAGAACACTTAATTCTGTAAAGTCTTCTTATGCTCAAGTGCTGTTAGTCCATAAGTTCCAACATATATAAAAAAGAAATTCTCATGAATTGAAGGGCCAGCAAAGACGGATATACAACCCCTCTGGCATAAATTGTGCTGCAAGGCCCCTTGTAATCCTGCGTCTCAACAGGCGCCAGACACCAGCATTTACCCGTAGGCCTCTCTGTAAGCCCAGACCTTTCCTTGGCTGAAGAGGCATCTTGGGACAGCAGGTACCCACAATGCCAAGAAGACAGGTGTTCTCCACCAGCTGCCTGCTTCTTCTTTTTTTTTTTTTTTTCTTGCTTTCTCTGTCAGCTCACATTTTTTTTTTTTTGCATACATTAGTTTTTTTTTTCTTCAACACTCATAATGATGTTATAAAAGTCACTACGCTGTGAAATTGTTCTTTGAAGGGTTTGGCAGATTTTCTTAGCTTTACATTACTTTGATTTAATTTTTATCCCTGAATATTTTCCCTTTTTGAATTGCATGTTTAAAAGATGGTACATTTGATGCAGGGTTTCCGCTACATTTAATTGATCGTGACGTGCCTCCACAGCAAAATAAAAACTCGCCATCAGATTAAATATAAAAATATGTTAACACAATGTGAAGGATGTGATATAGCATGCTGTGCATCTGTGCACTTATTCGAATCATAATGTTCAACAACAATTTCCAAATCATGTAAAGTAGTTTATTTTGGCAAACTTACACCTCATGTTTTTCTGTGACGCTCACTGTTGTATGAGGCTAACTGGTGGCTACAGAGCGCTGCTCTCAGTAGTGAAGAAGACCTAGAGATGACAGTCAGGTGTTGGAAATTTAGGGTCGCTACGTTTTGGGAACTTTTCAGACCCATCTAGCAACTGTAAAAAAACAAAACGTGGTGAATTTTACCGTTACCAAAGGGGCTGTTAGTCTCCCCGCTTCCCTAAGTGTTGCTTCACAGCCAGCCTCCTCATCCTGAAAGCCCCAAATGCAGTCAGAGCAATGTGAGCAGAGAGGAAATCTGCTCTGTTTATCAGCTGCAAATGTATAATTTATGTGCAAAGCTGCTGATGGTTTGACACTGGATTAAAAAGCAGGATATTGTATATAATGTAGTTAGAGTTTTTAATCTAGTCTCTCTTGCTTTGTCTTTTCTCTGAAACTTATTCACTTATATACAGTAATTACCTAAGCTGGAATCATTTATTCACCTCGTATTGTATGGGCCTCTGATTGCCATCTTTTTGCTAAAACTGGATGTCTGCATTGAGGATTGGGGCAATATGTAACAATTCATACAGCGTTTCACAAAGTAAGGTTCATGAAGGTTCATGTTACATTTCTTATTATGGTTTTACTTCAAAGCATATGGCCCCTCTCCACTATTAAAAAAGTTGACGCTGTCATGATTATGGGTACTCTGCTGTTTCCAAGCAGCAGATTAGATGTTATGCAGTTTATCTGGCTCTGACCCCATCCTGGAGAGAAATATCAACTGCGCAGCGGCCATCAACACCTTTGTTTATAGATGTTGGAGATCGGCCAGTTTTTCCACCATCCTGTTTCTCTGACTGTGATCTGGATGTGCTCTCTTCATCCTCTGACATGGGAGCTGGCTCAGAGCTCATCTGCCTGGCTGTTTTTCCTGGATGGAGCCGCCTTTTACAGCTGCTTTTTGTATCTCTGCTTCTGTCTCCTTGAACCCCAGTCGGCCTCGGCAGATGGGCGCTCACACTGAGCCTGGTTCCGCTGGAGGTTTCATCCTGTTAAGAGGGAGTTTTTCCTCTCCACTGTCGCTACAAGCATGCTTAGTGTGAGGGATTGCCTGCGAGTCAATGAGTTCATGCAATCAACTGGTTTTCCTTTGAAAACTTTGAATCAGTTTGACTGTATGATCTGGTGATCTGTAAAGTACCTTGAGATGATGTGTGCTGTGAATTGGAGCTGTTGAAATAAACTGAATTGAATTTAATTGAATCTGGTTTGGGTCATAAAAAGCAACAACTGCTGACAAATGCAGAGTTAGAAGAGGGCTTCCCTAAACATTTCAGCCTGTGACCCTTAATCCTACATACCTTTCTTTTTAAATTTAAGTTTATTTAAATATGGAATTATTAAATTAATCATTTTAAATATTTTGAAATTATTTAATTGGGACATTTTAATATTCGATGTTGCATTTTACAATTACGTAACAAATAAATAAGTTAATGTAACAGCTACATACTTCCTTGTACTTACACATTCATGTGTTTCATATATTTTGTTGTGGCCCCCCCCTGGGGGGGCCGACCCCCACGTTGTGAACCCCTGAGTTAGAAGACAAAGGAAATTTTACAAAGATGGCTTTTACCTCACTATTTAATGAGTTTTATACTATAACCTATATGTTCAGTACGTTAAAAAAAATAATGTGGAGCGTGTTAGTCAGTTGTGGTTCATATTCAGTACTGTATGTCGTTCTCTAGCAAAAAAAGACAAATTATCTCAAATTAAGAAAATTGTCTGTACTGTTGCTCTGTCATTCAATGTCATGGATTTTACTTCTAAATGACAGGTTTAATAATTCAATTTAACATTACAAATATTTATTTTTAAGAACTAAAAACAATAATTACCTGTAAACATGTTTTAGCTCATTTTTACATTTCTTAATGCTATATTTTTATTGGGATTTTTGTTTTAGAGGCTACACAAATTCTTTCTACACATTTCTGTCGGATAGTTTTTACCCACCTACATTAGTGGAATAATAGTTTTACATTAAAACCTTCTGTCAAAATCATGTTAATAACTGAAGCTACTAAGTTTCCTTCTTTTCAGTAACATCAGAGATGCTGTAAACTTCTTCATAATAAAAAGATCTTTTAACAAAACTCATGTTTGTTTAACAAAACAATTGTTGCAGCCTCAGTAACTTACCCAAACACATAATCATGAAACGCCAATATGCTGAATATCTGAGTAATAATTAGTTTTTTTTAGTTGAACATTTTCTAGTGTCATTTTATTGCTGCAATCACAGTTTTCAGTCAGTCTGTTAATAATCACCCATTTCCTAGATGAGACATAACAGACAGCTGAAATTACTGTTTCCCTTAGATATGACTTTTGTCTGTCGGAGACGTGTTGTCACACATACAAATATATTTGCTTTATAGAAATAAAAGTTTTGATTCCTCGTGTTTAAATCATTTTCTAATAATCTTGGTGACATGTATTTTTTGTTTTTGTATGCCAGCCAAATTAAAGTATGTCTGAGTAATCTTTTGTTGTTGTTGCAGTATGGCTTGGATCGAATCCTGGGGGAGGAGAAAAGCCTCGCTTTACTAGCAAGAGCCATCGACCCCGGCCAGCCTGCCATGATGACCGATGTTGTAAAGCTGCTGTCGGCCATCTGCATTGTTGGCGAGGAGAACACGTATGTTCTGTCTTGAGCTTTGTTCGTCTTTCATAAAAGCTACAAATGCACTTTTCCATTTCATACCAAAGAAAATCCCTTTTAGTTTCTGGCTAGGATAAAGAAACGGTTTATACTTTTTATCTGGTTAGTATCCATATTATAGTGATGTAAAAGTATTTGAAATGAATTTCCATTCGGTCTCGCCTTTCATGCTTTTGTGCAGCTTGGAGAAAGTCCTTGAGGCCATCACAATAGCAGGGGAGTGGCGAGCCATTGAGCGGTTCAGTCCAATTGTGCAGGGACTTCGAGATCGCTCCATTCAGCTTCAAGTGAGTTCCATGTTACGAGCTGCAGGGTCAACACTGAGTCATGTTGACGTCACCCATCAAGCTAAACCTGTGTTGATGCAAGGGGTTTTATGACAGTTAGGCAGCGATAAAGACATATTTTTAAACAGATCCAGATGCAGAAAAACAAACATCCTTCAGATTCAACTACCCAATTTCGCTCTTTTCAACTTTTAAAGATATTCATTTAAATTGAGTTTTATTAAATTACAATTTTTTCTTTCATTATAGCCGCCAGAAGACTTGCACATGTAGAGCACGAATGTTCAAATATTTGTTCAGTTCGCCATTGCAGCTTCATAATGCTTAAAAGGAATCATATGCGCTTTGATATTCAGGGCCTGATGTTTCCATTGAGCACAAATGACCAATTTAATCATTAGTTTAGGCACAGATGGGACAGAAATTAGAAGCCTGCCCACAAAATTCATCTGTGATGTTTGTTTATTTGTCAGTCTGTTATTATCATCACTGTAATCATAAATAGTATGCCCTTAATGTTTGTTGAAAGTTCACATCATGGCCACAAATGATATCCAGTCAGCAAGCACTTCATAAAGAGCCCAGATCAGTGTGAGGCACTTTGGCTTCCATCTGCTTCCGTTCCACCCACTTTCTCTGGATTAATGCTGAGACGGAGAACATTAGGTGATTAGAACGGAGCTGATGATATACCGTGGGTCTACATTTGATTTCAACACAAATACTTTTGAAAAAGCTTACCAGAAAATAACTTAAAAATGGTTGAAAGGAGCTCATTTCTCTTATCTATGTACACACGACAAGAACATCCACCATCTCCCTGCTGACGCTCACAGCTTAAATATTGATTATAAGTTGTTCCAAATAGGACAGCATTGGCTGTGAACAAGACTTCATAAACATTTGGTATGAAGTCTGCATTTTTAATCAAGGCATGCAACTTTAGAGAACTGATACATACACACATACACAACTGATACATACACACCTACATAAAAACACTCTAGGATTAAAATTGCACAAATATAGCTGATTTCACAGCCTAAAAAAAAAAGAAAACAATAAAATCTTGTTTTGTACACTGTTAAAAATATTTTCATCCTTTAACAGCAACTTCGAGACTTCTTAAAGACGGTCTTTGGGTAAGAAATCGATAGTAAATGATTAGTAAACAGGAAGCAACAAATCCCCTATGAAAGAAAAAAGGAGCATCAGAAAATGTACCAGAAAATAAAAGACTTCAACTTTCTATGTTATATTAACGGCTGCTGCATAAAATGTATCTACAACCAATAATGGATGTGGTTTTGTTTAATGTATATAGTTGTCAAATCAGTGAGCTAACTAACTCATTTAATAAAACAATGAACTACAATGAAATTATAATGTTGTGGTATAACTATGTAATAACTGCCTGATTCTTACATCCTTCTCTCCCAGTTCTTTTCCTTGTTTTTTAACGTCTTATTAAATAAATTCTTAGTATAGTAAATGACTGTAAAATAGGAATTAAAGTTTGATGGTGACCTAATCTTAACCAAACAGAGATTGTATTGCTCGGATTATATTTCTGGGCTTGTTGCTTTTGTTCTGGGGGTAAAAAGGGTGATCTATCTGTATTTTGTTTTTAGATATTATTTACTCCGTTGTGGAAACAAATATGTTAAGATTAACCACTACTTAAATCAGTTAAAGGTATTTACGACACCCTTCATAACTAATAATAGTGCCCCTGTGTGAAAGAGGATCCAGTAACTCATTTTTATGCTGCAGAAAATGTAATGTTTGTTTCTTTCAAGGAAAACTACCATATCAAGATACTTTTATGTGAAATCGTTGCTGCCAGCCTTGTTAATACTCTGAACATTTTCCCGTTGTCACTGAGACGGGACCCGTTGTTCTTATGAAACGTTTCACAAGGTCACAGCTTACAGGAGGGGATCTTTGCACACTCCCTAGATCTCCAGAGTGCTGTGTTCTCTTGAATTCAGTGGCCTCTTTGACTCACTCCACAGGTTAGCTGAAGGATTTAGGTTCAAGGTCTTGGGATGGCTCAGGGGCGTTTTTGAAAGACTGCTGTGGTAAAGACCTTTCTTCATTAGTAGCTTACCTAAAAGAGGGCTAGAGATAGAAGGGGAAGACATGCAGCGAATGGCCTTAGGTCCACTGTCACTGCATATAGAGCATCTTCTACACTGCTGTGCCATACGAGCACTGAACAAGTTTGTTTGTGTCAGAACCTTTCTGCTTTGATCTAGCCTTTTTTTAAATTTATTTGGTTGGATAACCCAGTGAAAAACCATTTCCTGCAATCTGCAAGGTCCACAATTATTTTATTAAAAATGGCCAATAATTCACTATAGCATGCACCTCCAAAGATCTTTGAAAGACAAAGTCTCACCGCATTATAGATCCTCCCCCATGCTTACCATTAAGGATTAGGTGTTTATTTTTTTATCTACTTCTTCTTCCTTTAATTAAAAAGTTATTTATGCAGCAATCAGAAAATTATGCGGAAAGAATAGTATAATTGGAGTGAAAAAAAAACCAAACTGCTTCCTTCTCTGCATCCCAAACAACAGTCATTGCATTTTTTCGTTCTTATAGTTACTTGTTGACCCAAAAAACTAACTGATTTCCGTGGTTTACAGTAGGGCTGAAACAATTAATCGGATTAATCAATTATTGAAAAATTCGGCAGCTAATTTAGTAATCAATTAAACGTCAACTGGAGTATAGAGACTGTAAACATGTGACTTTAGTTTACAGAGCGACCCACTTAGAACAGTATTCACATAAGATTTAAAATAAAAAAATAAACATTTTGCATTTAAGATTAAAAAAACATTTTCATCTGTCAATATGCTCTATCCAGAACTCCTCAAATGAAAAAACTTCAGTTTTAACTGGTTTATTTTCTTAAAAAAAAATTCTTTAAGGAATCTTTGGCTAGCCGATTATTAATTGAAAGGATTTTTCGACAGATTGATCAATTTTGCAAAACAATCATTGGTTGCAGTCTTAGTTTACAGTGAGCTATGATGACTATAAAAGTGGAATCTGTTTAGGGATTTCTGTACGTGTGTTGCAGATATTCATTATAACCTTTTATCAGACTCTAGAAAGCAGCTTACACTCTTTTGAAACCCATTTCTTTGTATTTTACTTTTAATACACTAATCTATAACTCTATATTTGTAGAGCTTTTCCTCTACATATTAAGAACTATGTGGGCTTTTTAGACTCTAGTTGCTTTTGAATGGGCCTGGGGATTACTACGCACCCAGAGGTACCAATACTTTAGAAGTAATGTTATCTACGACAATTAATTGCTAATCTTGCTTTTAGTACAATATTAAACATGACTTACTCTCTCGGAATAAATGCCCTGAACACTAAGTAACTATCAATCCATTACTGGTCCTTAAGGTCCCTCAATACATAGCAATGCAACCCCCTCTTTTTGCACATGAGTGAATTTCTTCTTGTGCTCCATAATTTATTCTCCTATTTGTGTTTTGCCGGCCAACTGAAGCTGCGGTCTCTAATTAGTAAACTAAACTCGGAGGGCATTCCGAAATGCTGTCCTGAATAGCCCATTTGCCCTTAAATTGACTGTCAGTTAATTTTGTGTCCATGGGTCTACAATTGTTACATTAATATTAAAATCACCACCCCAGTGGGGAACTGGAAAAAATAGACATGCATTAGTTATGGTCTTCTGCTTCCAAGGGACATAACTCATTTCAAATGCATGCCAGCATGCTTTTCTCAAACCTCTGGTTGAAGAAATCCGTCATCTTATTCTCTGGTTCTCTCTCTCACTTTTTTTGTTGTTTTGCTGTCTTTGTGCCGCCGTTGTTTGTTGCAGGTGGCATGCATGCAGCTCATCAATGCCCTTGTGACGTCCCCGGATGAGCTGGACTTCAGGCTGCACATTAGAAACGAATTTATGCGTTGTGGCCTCAAAGAGGTATTGCCGGTAAGTTAAACACATACACACACGTACAGACGCTATAAACTTTCACCTTGCATTAATATTTAAATGTCCAGTTCAGTGAAATGTTGCGGATTTGCTCAGCGAATAATTTATGAAACATCAAGGAGACTCTGCACGTCCTCTGTCTGTGCAGCCGTCAGAAGCCAATAAAGTTTCTAGTGTCTCGGCTCATAATCTTTCTGAGGGGTTTTATGCAATCAACTTAACATGTTTATCTCTTGTTGACAATATAATAAACCGAAAGTTCATTGTCTTTATTATAGCTTCAAGTTTTCTGTTATTGCAATTGCTTTTAAGTTTCTTTAAGTTTTTCGCTTTCGGTTTAAATTCTCCCTTTTACTATTGATCTATTTTATTTGTTTTTCTTTTTTTCCATCACGGCCCCTTTTTTAGCAACTGATGATCATCAGGAATGATGCACTGGACATTCAGCTGAAGGTCTTTGAGGAGCATAAGGAGGAAGACATGATGGAGTTCGCTCATAGACTGGAAGATATCAGGAGTGAAATAGAATATCCTTAATAAAAATGTGAACAGAAATGTTTAATTCAGTTTCTGCTTGTGTTGGAACCATAAATGTATGGAAGACATACTCATGTTCAGCCTATCCTGACATAAGGACGATATTTGCTAAGCTAAAGGGCATCTCTGTGATTCTTTCATTCCTATTTATTTCATGGGCTTCTCTGATTTTTCATGTAAAAATGCTGTTTCCATCCATCTCCAAGTCCTTGACTCTCTGTACTGATGCGGGGGATGTATTCAGTATTGTACTGAGCATGGTGAAGGACACCAGTGCAGAGCCCTATTTCCTCTCCATCCTGCAGCACCTCATGCTGATACGCAACGATCATTTGATCAGGTAAAAATCCCCTGACACTACAGAGAATATTCAATTTTCATTCATTTTTATATTAATAAACTTTATATATAGATACCAGTTTGTCTGTTAAAACTCAGGTTCAGTTATAGGTTGATATATTAGACAAATAGATTTTTATTAAGAGTCATGTGGGAGTATTTTCATCAGATATTATCCAACTGCAGATGAGAGAATGATGGGGGCAGCTTTGAGCGCCGGTAATGATCCACGCTGGTTAAAAGGTCTGGTTTTGTGGGGGTCCAACTCCCTCTGCCTTGAGCTCTCCCAATGACTTTGGCTAACAAAGAGAATGCTTTCTCTTTCATCTACAAGCTATCTACACAAGCAAGAGCTCTGGAGCATTTCTCATCTCCTATTAGGGGGAACTTTCAAAGGCTTATTTTATGTTGGTTCGCTCACAGCTGGGTTTGACTCGAACCTAAGGCTGATCAAAAGGTGGAGCTATTGTTCTCAGAGGTATGAAACGTTACCTGCCATTTCCCCCCACATAGAGGTTACAGATTTTGGCCCTTTGCTCTGTTGGAAGAAATTTCTTCAGCTGAAACTTCTCACTGTACTTTGAGTAGACTTGCAGCTAATGAGGCGTAGTAATAATCTAAGGTTTAGTCAAATAATTGAGTTGATTCAGCAGGTAAAACAAATACTAGAATTATACATTTATGTTGCTATCAAACCCGCATGCTCAAAAATGAGATTTTTTTTATCATAGAGTTTCAGACAATTCCTGAATCAGATATTTTTTCCTAGTATTATTTTTGAATGGTAATAAAAGGTCCTTATTATCTACGTTTTTCTCACTACGAACAACATGTTCCTGTCATTCTTGCTTTAGCATCTACATCAGGAGTTGGCATTGGAGTTTAAGACATCCTACTTTCAGTGTCTTGATGCATAAAACCAAATATTTACATACAGTAGCATCCATTAAAAATTGCCCTTCCTAGTCAAACGGCAGCTGAATGGCAGCAAACTTCCAGCCTCCTTCTCCTGGGCGTGCATATTTCTTTACTCGGACTCCACCCTTTCACTGAATTACAGGGCCTGACCAGGAGAAGGCACTTCTCTTTAGATCTTAATGTCCACAAATAATGACAGATGACTATGTTTAAAAAGGAATCTTAGGGGACCAACCAAGGGCCCATCAAAGAAAGTGGGGAAATTTTGAACTTCTATCACCGTAGTATCCCAGCAGTCTCCTCCATCTGATGTGTTGTGCAGCTGTTATTTAAATTAAATACCATTTATTGTTCCTGCTCTAAGATCTGTAGACAACATGCTGTCGTGGGAATACAATTGGGTCTTTTCTTTTATTTGGAAAGGTCTTAAACTTTTGGCAGTTTTTCCCTTTAAGATCCTTTTTAATCCTCACTTTCATTTTCTTTTGTGAGATTGCATTAACTTGCATAATGTAATTGCATAATGTAGCATAAACACATTGTGTGACACGGACCACCCTGAGCTTTATTTAGCTGTGAAGCTTAAATAAAACATTCATTAAAAGGCTTTGGATAAAGTACAAAGTCTTTCAGTGCACAAAAGTCATAAAAGTGATTTGATTCAACATCTCAATTCTCTTTGTCCTAAAACTCTTGAAATATGTGTAGAGTTTTAAGACTAAGTCTGATATGTTATTACATTCTATTGTAAACCTTTATTTAAATGTGTTGCTTCTTCTTCAGAATTTGTTTCTGTTTTATAATTAATATGCTTTTTTACCTGATCTGTCATTAGTTCATTTTCATTGATAGATGAGAAGTTTTATCAATCATGAATTAAAGGGTGGTAGTAAAGCTCTTAAATGGCCCCTCATGTCACTGCTGAATCAGAAAATAACTTCAATTTTAGGTTGTTTCATTATTTGGAGCAAATTTAGGTAAACTCAGTAAATATAGAAAAAAAAAGTAAAATAGCAATTTTGAAGAAAAGAGGCTGGAAGACCTTAAAGTTGAATTCTTTTTATTTTATTTATCCATTTAATGTTGATCAAATCAATTCTAGTAACAGATGATTGGGTGATAAAATATGCCTGTTAAGCCAAGCTTTTAGAATTGATAAAACAAAGAGCCACCAAGGTCTGTCTGTCTGTTTTTCTTTCTGCAGATGTTGAGTATGGCTGCAGATAGATATTATGTAATAGTTGTCTAATCTATCAAGGTTTTTATGATGAGTTGAAGAATATTTTTTGTTTTAATTTCCAGCATCAAATTATTTAAGAAAAATATTTTTAATTCCATTTAAGAGTATTTTTTTACTCTCGCTCTAGTCTGCACACACCTTTAAATGTCACTTTATAGCACTCTTAAGCCAAAGTGCATCAGCTGCCGCCATGCAGCGCTGTCCAAATAGTGTTTGCAGTTAGAAAGGAAGCAGGAAATAGAAGATGATTTACTGTATTGCTATCGTTCGTTGAGCATAGGAACCTCCCAAAGTTCCTATCTGGAGTTTAAGACTTCGACTCCTACTATCCATAACATAACAGGCAATATAGACAAAGCCCATCTGAAAAAAAAAAAAAAGAAATAATTTCTTCACACAGGTCCAGTTCTTTGAGTAAAATAGTCGGATTTTGGTTTATTTTTCTTTTTTTTTCCTTTCAGGCAGCAATACCTTGATTTTGTGGATGTTTTAAGCCAATCTGTTAAGTGTGGGCTCCAGTCTGGGCTTTGTTTTAAAAATGGATAAAAACACAAAATCTCTTGCTGCTCTCTGTTTCTAAGTAGCCCAATGTTTATTAATGATTAGGTGTAAAGGAGATTAGGACTCTCTGTGGCATTGTTGTAAGATAATAAGCAGATCAAACAGTTTCTCACCCACTTGAATTTGCTCTGTCTCCCCGAGGGCTGCATGTCAGCTGTGGTTTAATAAAATGTTTCCTAATGCAAATTAGTGTTCGCCCTTGGTTCTTTGTGAGGTCATATGATCTCGTTTTTGTCCTCCATAATTGCTATTGGGTTATCAAGTGTTTCCCAGTTTTAATAGAGGGTGAATATTATAGTGACTTATCTATATATTTAAGAATACATGAATATTTATTCATGAAAATCTTTTCAAGACAACAGCCTGCCAACCAAAATATAAAATCCATCTAAATTTTTATGACAATTTTGAATATTTCTGAAACCTGAGCCAGTGGCCAATCTATTTTTTTAATTTTCTTTATACCCATCTACCTTTATTCATATACATTTTTCTTTTTATTGCCCTTCTTGATGTTTTTTTTTTTCTCATTATGAATTTCAGGCCCCAGTACTTTAAGATAATAGATGAGTGCATTTCTCAAATTGTCCTGCACCGCAGCGGCATAGATCCCGACTTCAGTTACCGCAAGCGCCTAGACGTGGACTTCAGCCACCTTTTAGGCAAGTTTAAAACTTTGGGCATTTCACAATCATGGACAAGTTAGTAAAGAAGTGGAAAGGTTCTAATATTATATTGTGTTGCAGAAGTTTGTGTGGACAAAGCTCGTGTTGATGAGTACGAACAAAGAGCTTTGGAGCTGGCACAGAAGGCAAGTATCAGAAAAAAAGATTAAATATTGTGTAACATAAACTTGATTTAAGGTAGTTCTTAATTAAAATGTACTTTAAATTTTGAATTTTTGTGTCCACCATTGTGGAAATATTACGACTGACATTTAAGGCACTTGTTTTTTTTAATTTACGGTAATTTGATTTAATAGCATCTTTTGACAGCTGTTAAAGCATTTGAGTGTAGAAATTTTACCCATTTCTGTGTTAAATAAACTTGGTTAAATGTTTAACGTCATTATTTTTAGCTAAAAATTATAAATACTTGAATGAACAGTGTAATTTTTTAAAGAAATGTGGAAACTATTTTTTGATTTGTTAAATAGATTCTGTTTTTTGAGTTTGTTTTGTGGTTAAATCTGTGTTCTTATTTCTAGTTCGATGAAGAGTTTCTCAGCAGACAAGAGGCCCAAGCGCAGCTGGCTAAATGTGAGGAGCAAATCGCTGGACTCCAAGCAGAGCTACAGGCCTTCAGGTCTCAGGTACAAGTGTCAGATATGAATGTCTTTGTCACTGCAGGATGAAAAGTCTTTGAGAAAACTAGACATAATTCTGGTACAACCCTTGTGATTTTTAGATAAGAGTTACAATTAAACTTTTCTTTATGAAACGTCCTTGTTATTTTTGGGCTGCGCTATGGGGATGATGGTGGGGGCTTGTCCATTGGAGCCTGCAGTTTGGTTTGACATGGAGGCTGCTCTGCTGGCTAGCTGACACCAAGTCTAATGAGAACACTGACCGGTCCTCCATGTTGGCCATTTCTAATTCTCCGATCTCTATCCCATAAGAGGAAATTGTTCTAAAAGCAATTTATTCTGACAACCCCTTCAGCCTCAACCAGCTACCCTCCCCCCCCTCCAATTACTCCAGAGAGTTACTCCCACACCCTGGCACTGCAAGATAACTACACACTCAGAGAGAGGAGGAAAACTTTCCTTTTTTTCTTGATAATTTTTCAATTTGAGAGTGCAAACACTGAGTGAATACTCAACTAGTACCTTGGTTTGGACGGTGCTGGTATGTTTAGTCAGCGGTGGCACACATGCACATGCATTGTCCCTATGTCTGCGTCTGTTCTTTACATTCGCACTGCATGCTCCTCAATTCAGTTATAGGCTTTTCTTTTGCAGGTACGGTAAGGGCCCTCGGTTTACTTTTAGAGCACATCTTTAATGTAAAAATTGCACAGCACACTGATCAATAAGCCATTCACTCTCTGTGATGCAGTTTTACAAAGCTTGCAGGTGCTGTAATAACATTAGCTTTTTAACTTTTATGAAATAAGAATCATTGTAGGTACTTTCCAGAAATAATCAGAAGCGTTTCATGGTGTTTTGCATAACATAAGCCATATCTGTCATTCATACACAGTAGACTTTAGAAAGGAAACAGAAATATCTGCCTTTTTTTTGCTTTTATTGTTTTTTTCACACTTTTGTTTTGAATGATGTGATTTTTTTGCTGATTACAGGTATAAAATGGTGTAAAATAAAAAGTGAAAATCAACTAAACGTAAACCCTTCTTAAACACCATATTTTTTGTTTTGAATTTTTTTTGGACTACATGGATTTAAAGAAAATTATCTTTAATATAATCAGAAGTAGAGTGGTTGCTGCTGTGACATGCAAAACACGCTCCACTTATGATTAGCTACTAAGGCATGATGCATCCAGTGTTTTTTAGTTTTTGTTTTGTTTTGGAATTTCATAAGAACCTACAGACTTTGGATATTATTTAAAAACATTTTGACTCTCATCTTTTATTAAGTAAATATATGACGACTCCCTTTCATGTTTTTGGAAAACATGAAACAATTTAATAAGAATCTGAAATGTTGCATGTTTTAAACGGTGTTCGTTTTTTAATCTTTCTTCTTTGTGTTCCTCCTCAGTTTGGATCAGTGCCTGTTAGTCTGGCCTCAGCCAAAGCTGGAACAGCTTCACCATATCATGCATCTGTACCTCCAAGCTCTGGTTCTGAATCAGGGGTTATGGCTCCCCCACCTCCTCCACCACCTCCTCCTCCTCCGCCGCCTCCTCCACATGGATGTCCTCCTGCCCCTCCTCTATTTGGAGTCCCACCTCCACCTCCTCCGTTCTTTGGAGGTGGCTTTGGTTCCCCCACCCACCACACGCTGCCTTTTGGCCTCAAGCCGAAGAAAGAGTTCAAGCCTGAGACGTCAATGAAGCGCTTCAACTGGTCAAAGGTTAGACCTTATGTAGCGTTGGAAATATTCTCTGAACTTTATTTTCACACAACCCGCTGCACTTTAATATACAAACACCTTAAAGAAGAAATCAAAATCCAGGCCACACATGATTAAAAAGCAACTTTCTTCTCTCTTTTACCTAGTTCATACTGTTTTTGGCAACGTCCAAACTGTACAGATGTTCTGCAGAAAAGAAACTTCTTTTTTTCCTCAGTGCCAAGAAAATAATTGGAAATAACAGATGATCAGATGCTTTTGTCAGAGCAGACTTCCTGGTACCCCCACAGATGTTGTTCCTCTTTTGAGCAATATTAGCTGATGCCACAAATGGTGTTTGTTTGTAATTTGATAAATAATTTACTCTGATTTGCATCAGTACAGGTGTTCAGCAAACTTACACATCTGCTTGAAATTTCAAGGCAAACTTGATGGGCGAATGAATGAATGTGGTCTAAGTATTGGAGACCTCAACATGTGGAGAAGTTGGGTACAAAGATGTGAAAGCTCCTCAAGTTTTCAGACTTTTTCGTTTACCTGCAAAAACCATAGCAAAGAGCTACAGGTTAGAAACTCCCTCATGATAGCAGTAAGGTGCTTTGATAACTTTGTTAAAGCTTTTTTTTAACTAGGATATATTATAAACTTTAGGTTTACACCTAAATTAACTATACTAGTCAATAGTGTATATATTTATGCCATGTTAAATAAAACATCAAGTAACTTTTCAACCTTATATGTCAACTCAAAGACAACTGAAGGACAATTTTGTCATGTCCGTAGGGGGTCTGTATCATTTCCACCAGCACTAAGCAATTTTGACGAGGGTGACATTATTACCAGTTTAGTTCAATCCAGCCTCAGGGACCAGCAGGTCAGGATTTTACCAATTTATGCCCTGGTCCTCATGGGAAATGCTGTCTTCCTTCAGGGAAAACAATACAGATTTTGTCCACTGGGGAACCAAAAATCGACCAAAACTGAAAGTTCTTTAGAACTGCTTTAGAATAAAAAACACTTTGATGTAATGAGCTGGGATCTATTTTATAAATCTAAAGTACGTCCAACCTGAAACTTGAATATGCCAAATTTAGTGATTTGTAAAACTCATATAAAACCTAAATCGTAGATCCTCTTTATCGGATTTGCAACCGAAGTGTGATATATGCTAACGCTGCTAAGCTGCCCTGTCATAAACACAAAAAGAGAGGATCACATGCAGCATAAAATACTGGACATATTTAAACGTTTCTTGATCGTCGCATTCCTCTCCTCAATAACCAACTGGGTGGATCATATCACAAATCACTGTATTAACTTAACAAGGTGTGAGGAATTCACACAGATTACTGAGAACATTTAAATACTGTTGAAATTGCACGCTTAATGGTGCACAATGGATGCTTTTACTAAGCTGGATACTTTAAATGTGAGAATTACAAGGGAAGGTGGATCACCAAGATTACCCTGTTTATTATGATCACTGGCTTATGAGCAGATTACACTTAACTTTGAGGTACAGCTGTGATCTTTAAAAGGAAAATTCCATTTTTTTGTGCTTAAGTAGGGTTTTATAAATCTGGAATGTTTTGGCTTTTCAACACTTTTTGTATGGACCCTATGCAATCTTTTGTTTATCGAAATAAGACCCCTGTTCACATAGATAATTGTGCCGACTTTCAATCTTCTTTCTCAATCTTCCACTCCTGAGAGACATTGATGATCAGGATCCAGCTCTTAAAATAATTTTTACCAGATAATCTTAGGATTATCTCAATAAATGAGATTGTTAGGAGTGCATCCTTCAGAGCATCCTTCTGCTCTGAAGGATGTCCGCAACACTTCGATCCCAAACCGTGGGATTGTCTTGGATCATGTTTGGTATTCCTCGAGCGCAGATGGGCGTGTGGCCTGTTGTATATGACGTGCAGCCAATCAGAAAGCATCTCTTGAAGAGAAAAACACTGCTCACCACTTCTTTAACAAACATATTTCTTATTATGTAATTGCGCTACCAAGTTTCCCTATTACTTCTTTCTCATTAGCTCTGGTTTTTGACTCTAAACTCATGCTTGATCTGGAGAAGTTTTGTGAGATTACCATCTGAGATCTAAATTTCCTTAAATGGAATCTGTTCACATGCAGTTTGCTTTGCTTCCCGTGAATCTGTACATAAAACTACTGTCAGAAATAATCCTGTTTTCTGTGTTTTTTTATCGTTACCTTTAGGTCCATTGAGATGTTGAACATCACCTAACAATTAAACAATCTTGTCATGTGAATCCGGCATAGCAAAGTGGATGTTGTCTTGGATACTAACAAGTCTTGATGTCATCCAGACATTGATTTTGAAAGTTGTTTCAGAAAGAAATATTTTCATGAACCCCATTGCAAAGTCTTGCTTGTGTTTCAGCCTTATTTACACAAGTAGCAAAGCGCTAATTAGAAGGCTAATTAGTGTTTCTTCAGATCGCTCTGAAGTGGCACTATCATTGATTCGGTGTCTTCCTGCTGCAGCTCCAGCATTTTTACTTTTTATCCAGAATATTTCTTCCTTTGCTGAGATTCTTTTTTCCAGTTCCTCTGCTGTTGTTTCTTTTTCATCCTGTGGACCTTAATAATCTTGCAAATTTACACAGTCGAAGGATTAAGACTGAAAATGTTCCGGTTATCAAAGGTCGTTCTGCACCAATGTTTATACACTTATTTCAATCTGAAATTACAGTTCTTACTATTGCTTTTATAAACAAGCTTTCAAAGGCTTATATGTGAGGGATTCCAGTAGATTCAGTCCTGATGCACCATTGAGGTTTTCTTAAGTCATGCAGGAACAAAGTGAGATATTCAACCTTAAACTTAAATATCAGTGAAAGAATTCATATGCTTTATTTTTTCATTCTCTAAGTGGTTTTACACTGAATAGTTGGATTGACCTAAAAGAGCCAGAGGAGTAGGAATTATTGCTTATTTTTTTAGTGCAGTGAAGGTTTGAACTGTGTGTAAGGTTTGACTTCTGATGACAATAATGTATAAGATACAAGATTAGGGCTGCAACTAATGATTACTAATGATTATCCTGCCCCAATAATCTGTCGGAAATTTTTTTTGGGTTAATGGATTAATAATTGGATAGCCTAAGGTTCCTTAAGGATTACTTTTTACGAATTTAAACCAGGTGAAACTGAATCTTTTCCACTTGAGGAGTTCTGGATATACCATATTGACAGATGAAAACATTTTTTTAAATCTTAAATGCAAAATATTTCCTGTATTTTTTACAACTCTGATATAATTACTGCTGGTGGGTCGCTCTGTCAGCTAAAGGCATTTTATAGTCTCTATACTCCTGTTAAGGATTAATTGATTACTTAATTAGCTGATGATTATTTCAATTAATCAGGATTAATCTGATTAAATGTTTCAACCCTAATAAAGATATGAATATAGTTTTGTTTTTTTTGTTTTTCCCCCCCAGATTCGTCCCCAGGAAATGTCAGAGGATTGTTTCTGGGTGTTGGCTGAAGAGGACCAGTACGCCAAACCAGAACTGCTCAGTAGAGTCGCTCTTACTTTTGGTTCACAGAGAACAGGTAAGATCAATTTATTTAAGCAATGCAGATGGAAAAAGAAAGTTACTGTGGTTATTTCCGTCTGCATTGCTTCTTTAAAGGCTCAGTTTGTGAGAGTTATCCAAGTTTTTTTTTTTTTTTGCAACTTAATTATTTATTTGAAGAAAACATTTCCCCAGCTGCTGTTTTTCTCCAGCTTGGATGTTTTTTTATTGGGCAGAGGGGCTGCTAACAGAAAGTCTGCCCATTTAAACAGGATCAGTGAAACTTTTCTCTAAAATTCTCAGCTGCTTCATGTCAAAGTGGAGCTGTTGAGCATACTAAATGAGCTGGAGCACAGATTTTCCTTCCTGATAAAACACAGCGCAGTTACATCCTTGTACATTAGTATGTCTAGTAAGACCTGCAATATTCATGTATGAGATTGTTGTAGTGATTAAAGCTGGAGCGGGAGGTAGCTAGAGATTTTATCACTTTTGTCCTCCCTTGTGTTTGGTCTATTAGTCCCGTCACTGATGATTTATTCACGTCCTGTGTTTTCTTTCTTGTCAGTGCCTTGGCTTGCTTATGTCAACTTGAATTATTCATCCAGGTGTTATCTACCTGTCACAACTCTATGCCGCTTCTCTCAAGGTGCCGAAACCGAGCAACACACAGCTGCAGCTTAGTTTCTGACCGTCAAGGTGTTAAATAATACAACTTGAACAAATGGTAAACAGGCATACAGGTATCTTCTTGGGAGGCCAAAAAGAGAGGCGTCCAGTGGGAGAAGCTGCCCTTTGTGAGACACACTTTAAAGCCTGTTTCCACGTGTGTTTGACATGCCCAGTGCTTAAAGCTTAAGTGGTGATAATGGAGCGAGGGCTTAAAATTGAAGCAGCGATTTTACCCCTCTGAGCCACTGTGAGTGCTGGACATGTTGCCAAGTTCAAAAGTAGGTGTGAAGAACTTTGCTGGCGCCCACTGTTTCTACTGCACTAGTTTCACCTACTGAAGAGGCCATCGGCGCAGGCTGTGGGCGGCTGCAGGGGCTGATATTTAAAAAGGCGGAATCAACCTATCATAAAGCCCGATTTTCAAAAGGCATTGTACTTTTTACAATAAAGTGAGGACACATCTTCTTAATATATCTATTAATAGTCTCAGGCAATCTATGAGGTAATTGTCAAGGCAAGCAATAATGGATTACCTTGAAAGATATTAGGAAAAAAAAAAGATACAGATTATTTAGCTAAACATTTTGTTTGGACAATTAGAGCATCAGTTAATGTAAGCATATTTGAAAATATAAATTGTTTGTACTGCAGTCCAACAGTACCGTACATTTGCTCTTCATACTGTACATTATGTTCTGTCAGAATCCATTCCATTAAACATATAACTTATTTCATATTTAAGAGTTATATTTTTGTTTTAAGGAACTGTAATACATTTTGTGACTACATATTTTGGTTTATATTTATCTTTATTTAGTAAAAACAATTTAGAACATGGTAGTAGTTTTAAAGGATTGGATTTTTAAACGTTTGTACCCAGTTTTAATCTAGAATTAAAGATAAACTTAGTAATAAGCTCTGAATAATTTCGTCAGCAGCTTTATCCATCTGTTTCAGCTAGGGCTGAATAATTGGTTGGTTTTTGAATAACCAATTAATAAAAGGATAGTACAGGAAGGATAGTAGATTTAAAAAAAATGTATTTTTATTTACAGATGACATGTCAAGTCATGCCAAAACTCAGACTCTTGAGGAGTTCTAGCAGATAGAGCATATTTACAGATGAGGTTGTTTATTTTCATGTTTTAATCTCAAATGCATAATGTTTTAGAATCTATTTGCTCCAGTTAAGGATTACTCAGCAACTAAAATAGTTGCAGATCAGTTAATAATATGTTAACCCAGAGATGGGAAATGTGGAGTCAACAAGTCATCTCCATGTCATGTATTGGATCTACCGACCCACTGTAGCAGGTGAGTCCAATATTCCCAGTGAATCAACCTGGTTAATTGGCTCACCTGGTTAATTGGCTGGTTAGATTAAATACATGACATGGAGATGACTTGTTGACTCCACATTTCCCATCTCTGTGTTAACCCAGTTATTTGTATCAGTCTTAGTTTTAGCAAACACATGCCAAATAAATTTATTTGGTGTGTGTCACGTCAATACACATTGTGGATTAGCTGATCTAGAATGTAAGCCCAAGTATTGTAAAAACACCAACATAAAACAAAAGAATATAGAGGCAGACAGGCAGTTCTTCAGGATTAAATACATGAAAGCTCAGCGGTGTGTAAGCATGACATGATGAGCATGGAGCAGTTTTGAGTATACCATTTTTTTTAGAGGGATGAAACTATAAAAAGTCTCAACATAGCAAAATGAACCCCAGCTTCTGGCCCAAATGAGCCGAACCTACCTCAGCGAACCTACTTAAGCAAAACCTGTGAGCCCAAGTCAACATGTCACGGTTGGCAAAATTAAAAACCAAATGGCTTACCTTGACGCTGTCTTGTTCGCGGGACTTTTTGCAAGTTGTAATTTATTCCAGATTCCAGTTTAATCCACATGGTTTAACACACCAGGACAGCACTGCTAGCAAGCAGTGGATTATGTTTGCATTGCTCATTCACATTAGAATGATTAGCCTTTAGATGCAGAACTACATCATGCACCGCAACATATTTTTGCAAAATATTCGAACATAAATTCGCCACATATAAGAGGATCATCGTAGTTTGGTTTAAAGAAAGCATTTTAGTTTTATTATAATTTTGTTTGTTGCAAGGATTTTACAGTTTGAAGAAATAGAAAATTACACCACATGCCAACCGTCACAAGGATGTGCATGACAAGGAAGGGCTATATATACTGGATGCATCACTTAGGTAGTTAGCATTGTATTACTTCTTGAGTTATTTACTGTCACAGGTAGGTGCTTTGGTCTGAGAGTTAGTGATAGGGCCGGCCCTCGCCAATGAAATTAGGACCAGCCGGTATCACAAATTACCAGTCCGAACCTGCATACACAGAGACTCACAAAGACTTGTATGTTTCTCATTTTTTTCCAAATGTATTTGTTAACCTTTTTTAGCTTCACAACAGAACAAAAAGCAAATGTTGCTTAGCTACACTTTTTTCCACAAAAAGAAGCGCAAAAAAGAAAATCAGTTCAGCTTTGGTCCCATTAAGAGATCTCCCCCAGTGTGATTTCATCATAGCAGAAACATGACCATCAACGTAATTAGGAAAGGATTTCCAATCCATTACTAGAAGCCGGGCTTCTACTAACGACTATTTTGCTAATCGATTAAGCTGTTGATAATATTTTGATGAATCCATTGATAATCTGATAGCAAAAGGTTTCTTTAACACAATTTTACACAGAATTTAAATCAAGTGAAGCTAAAACTGTGGATGGAGCATTTTAATGGTGAAAAAACGTTTCCACATAGAATGCAAAATGTTTATGTATTTATAATTTTGGTATAAGAACTGCTTTGAGTGGGTTGCTCTTTCAGCTAGAGGCATGTTTGCCTTAATTAAAAGAATCAATCTTAAAGTTTACTGAAGGTGTTAAAGTCCAGTGGCATATTTTCCACTATCAGTTTAAATCATCTAGAGACCATTGGGCTTTTTATTAGGATCTAGTTAAATGTTATTTTGAGCTCTGAAGGTTACAATATTATACACTTTGCTATTTTTCTTATTCATAATGCATGTGTTGGTAAAGCCAAGAGGAAGAGTTAAAGGCTTAGATAGATATGCATTTTAATTATGCTCCCCATCCTGATTTTTACAGTATCTTTAACAATAATTTAAACCTAACAACTAATTGGCAGCAAAGCTATTTTTTTTGAAGCAATCAAATAAAAAGTACAAAAACCCTCCAAAGAAAACTTTCTGCATTGCCCTTTTTTATTTTTTTTCCCTGTCCCACTTCAGCTCTAAGGAGGAATATAACCAGTTTCGTGTTATCAAATCCAGTGGCTTCATCTGCTCTGAGTCATTTATTGAACTCGAATGCATTATGTACTTGCGGGCTTGTAGACTTATTAAAAATAGCCTTGTAGCATTGTGTTTCATCGCGCATAAGAGCAGTAGCATCTGCATGAATATTAAACATTAAAAAGGACACAGTAGTCATGCAGTTTTTGTCATTAACAATTCATTTGCATCTTCGGAAACTTCTTTTTTTCTTTTGTGCTGCTTGTTTCCCCGCTTCCATTTTCCGAAGTGAATTTTAGCTGCTCTGTAAACAGAATCCTGGGTTGATTTATTGTCGAAAGTTTCTTGTCTGCACATCAAAACTTCATTGATGGTTATTAACAGAAATTGAACATTTGTATTCATAATCCAAAATAATACCCTTTACTGCAGTTTATAATGCCACAGTAGATACATTTTAATGTATTATCCCTCATTGCTGAACTTTATTCTTGCTGGTTTTTTAATAACTCCAGATTAAAAAGCGCGGTTGGACATATGGTCTGACATCAACTTCAGAAAACTAACTTTCATATTGCTATGACGTTTTCTAGATTATGAGAGAAAAATTCATGATTGTAATTTTCTTGAAGTTAACTGTAGATCTATCTAGGGTTACACAATATATCCCAATTATTGCATGTTTTCATTGCATTACCTGTTTATAATAATGACATTACCAAGCACTGTTTGGATCATATAGCATATTTACCGTCCAACGGTCTAGAACGGTGTTTCCCAACCGGGGGTACACATAACCCTAGTGGTCCGCCAGTGCATTGCAAGGGGTACATGAAAATATTTTATTTCTCAGGTAGTCAGATAAAATATGGCTGGGATCTGTTTTGCTTTGTGAGGACCAAATTGAAAAATTAAACAAGCTTTTAACAACCAAAAAGTAAGTTTTTCTTATATGTTTGAGTTTACCTTCAGCTTTCACACATCCAAACCAAGCAGAGGAACAAACTGGATGTAGAGAAAAGCCTGTGATCACCTTTTTTCATGCTCACTATTGGAGCTCATCACAGCAGCTC